AAAACGGGTCAGCAGCAACAGATCGTCCAAATAAAACAGAATTCTCCTCCCTGCTCTGTGTAGCGGCTGCAGAGCCGACTCAACGCATTTTGAATGGAAATGTTGTCTCACAGTTGAAAATTGACAAATCTAAGATGGGTCTCATCCCTCCAGTCCGTATTGGGACCAGGAAGTGACGAGAGTAGAACCCTGTGTTTTCCTCTCCTTCTGGAACCCTGGAAATTAAATTTTTTATCAGAATTTCCTGAACTTCTGCGAGGGGGGACGAGATCTGTTCTGGAGATGACAGAAACGTCTCTAAAGTTCTTCCAAATGGGGGGTTTGAGCTGTAACTGCAGCATGAATCCCCTGCTGATAAAACGGTTCATCCATCTGTCTAGAGCGCACGCTCGCTGCCACTCTGCGTAACGTTCAGATGCGGGCACGCATTTAAGCTGCGTCACGTTATTTACCGACGCCAACCACCGCCGTCATGTGTGCCATACTCAGGCTGTGGGCTCACATCCATGCTGATGTGAGCTGGCGTGCGCTGAGGAGGCAGCGCACAGCTTGGGCTGAGAGTGAGGTTTCCCACTGGACTCGGTCTGCTGAAAACATTCACTTTGGCTGCTGTGTCACTCACGTGCGCATTTTGTGTGTTTTCTCGGGCTGCGGTGATTTAAAACCTGTTTGGAATACACCGGCTCGCTAGGAATGTGCGATATGGCATAAAATTCATATCACGATATGTATTGTGAAGGATGGCGATAACGATATATATCGCAATATGTTTTTGGTATAAAACTTGCTTAAAAAAAAGCATAGGGTGTCCTTTTGCCATCATATATTTTGAATTAAGAAAATTCCACTACTGGGTCCAGAGAGTTTTTAAGTAATAAACAAATCAAGTACTAGGCTTCTTTCTTGTAGTGCAAAACAGTGCAAAAGATATCAAATGTAGTTTTAGCCATATGTTTTAAACAAAAAATATGTTGTTAACTCTTAACAGTTTCCAGTCTTCTCACTTTATAAATGAACAGCAACAGAGCAGCATTTTACACTGAAACACTTCACCCTCCAACCCTCTAGTGGGCGCCTCCTTCTGCTTTAACGGAGAGCTGACACAAAATTAATCTGTGGCTTTGACCAGAGGGTCTCGCAGTAAAATCACACAACACAGCGTTCTTTTCACAGACCAGAGAGCAGATTTCTCTAAAGCTGACCAACGCTTACTTTAACTTTCAATAAAAAAAATAATAAATTTGACGGAACACAGCGTTTTGCGCATGCGTCAGAATGGCAGAACGGCAAGCCGGGCGTAGTTAGCTTGTAGCTTCGCTACTTAGCTCTCGAATAAAAGACTTTAACGCCACTTTTGCACAGTTTTCAGCTCAAATAAAGTAACGATTAAATCTGACAGCTCTGATTTTACACTTGAACACCACTTACGCACAGTTTTCAACAAACAAAAGTAACGATTAAACTGACAACTCTGATTTTACTTCAGACACGGCATTACTGTGGTTAGCTGGTAGAAGACAGATCTCTATCGTAGGCTAAATTTCTATCATTTCTACCGTATACCATTTATATTGCGCATTCCTACGGCTTGCTTGTGTGGAGGATGTGTGAGGAAAAGCCGCTGTGAGATCATACGAACTGACAGTCAGGCTGAAATCAGACACTTTAATTCCTGAATGATGATTACGTTTTATTCCAAAAACTCAAACCATCATAATGCACACAAACATCCTCCGCAATGAATCATTTTTGAATCTTCTCCCCTGTGAGCCCTGCGGCTTGTCAGGATGAGGAGGGCTGTACTCTGATGGGAGGGGCTGGTGGCGGAGCGGAGCGAGAAGACGCTGCTGGAGCTGTGGCACGTCTCTGCTGTCTCTGCCACGGCACTCTCTCCAGCGGGCGGGGGGGCGAGAGGAGGGGTGCGGCTTGATCACATGGCGCACAATCTCCGAAACCTCCTCCGGCTTTTTTGATTTCTCTAGCATGTCCTTGAAAATTGGCTCCGAACAGCACGTCTGTCGTGATGGGGCCTTCCAGCGAGTCCATCTGCAGCTTCTCTGACAGAGAGGGGGAGTGACAAGCCAGGTGGACCTCTGAACCATTGTCATCCAGGCTGCGATGCGAGACCGGCAGACAGCAGACGAGGCGCACAGGTTGAGGGTGACGTCAGATGCCTTGCAGAGGGAGCTCTTTGTCTCCTCAGGCAGGTCTGTCCCTCCGGACTCTGAGATGCTGTACGTCAGCGGCGCAACGTTATTGTTCACTGCGGCCGCCTGGAACGCACACTGGTGAGCTCGGTTGGAGAGCGACGTCACCGTCTGGTCATCCCTCCCCTGAGGCGCAGGACGCTGGTCCAACCTGGACATCTTTGCTCCGAGAGCCTCCGCCAGGCTTGGCTCCAGTGGGGCACCAAGGGAAATTCCGCTCGGTAAAACCCCTCCACTCTGGTGATGGGCGCGAATGTGGAAACTGGCGCTCTCAATCTACCAGGACCGGCTGCTGCCTCGTTCCAGTAGGACGTCACTGCTGGGAAACTAGGCTAGATGGGATCAGGACGGTGAGCCAGGGTGGAGCCAAAAAACCTTCCCGCTAGATCATCCGATCTGGGCGGGGGAAGGAGAGGGACGGAAAAAAGTCCCTTCATGTCAGCCGCCTCCTGGATTATGCCAAGCAGCTCCGAGAGGAGGGCATCGACAGCTGGGAGCGGTGTGGTCACAGATGCAAAAAGGCCCGGAGGTGGGGGGTGAGCATCCGCTCAGCCCCCCTCGTTCCGACACTACGCTCTCCAGGAGGGAGTGAGCAGCGGGGGCTGCTGCTGACGTCGCCTGTCCCGAAGGAACCATCCAATTCGCTCTGAGAGTCGGCGTTAAAAGGAAAAAAGGGTAGATGGCGTCGTCCAGCGTGTAGCGACCCGCCTCTGAAAACTATTCCTCGGCGCTTACCTTGAAACAAGGCTGCTCGTCTGCTTCTCCTCGGGGAGGAGAACTCACCGGGACGGCAGGAGGTTGGCGTGGCGAGACCCCAGGCAGCCTTAACAAAGGTTGTGCCGGTCAAGCTGGACAACTTCCCTTCTTTGTTCTTCTGACAGTGCTATTAGCTTGCTGAAGAAAAAATGGGAGCCGATTACACGCTCTAAACGTAATTTATACGGACCGGGTGGGGCCCACACAACAGTTGGGCGTGGACTAATTTTTTCAGTGTGATGCTTTGCATGACGGGATAAAACCCACCAGCAACATCCTTAAAGGGCGAAGCCTATACGAAATAGAATGCCCTCCATTACCGACTTCCACTACATAAGAAAGCTTCCTTTCAAAATCTGGGTTGTCAAGTAAAAATCCAAGAGGGCTGCGGCCATATATAGGTTAACCTTGTGAGCTGGATAACTTAAAAAACAAGCAACATGCTCCTCGAAAACCTTCAGTCTGAGAGCAGGATTTAAAAACCTTGGTTTCAGAGCGAACGTGGGCTGTTGTCATGTACATGAATGGCCGACCCGCCGCTGAAACGCTGCGGTTTCATCAAAGACGCGTGGTGTAAACCAGACCTGAACCTGCTGCAGGTTTGTTGGTCTGCTCAGAGCTTGATCTAACAGCATGCGACAAAACAACAAATCAAAGTCCACAAATTGTTCTTTTCACAGGTGCAGTGGTTAGAACTTCGGCACCAAGATTTTCTGGACTGATAAAGAAATAAGGAAGTTTTTGCTAATTTAGTCTCAAAACAGGACTCTCTTTTTTTTTCCTTTGGTTTAATCTTGAAAACAAAAACTTTGTGATCAACCTTCAACAAACAACAAGTTAACAGAACTTATTTCTTGACATAACTGGATGAAATTGTCAGCAGTAGGAAATGTCATGTTCTTAACAGTGACCACCTGTCCTATATTCATGATGTTTTGGTTAATTAACTAAACCATATGACCGACACTTATACAAATGAAATAGGCACCGAGAGTCAAACTAGATAGATACAAATCAGATTAATCGGGGATCAAAGTGAAGCCTATTGGATAAACTAAATATCTTTTCATTATCTACTTACTGAAACTAAGCTACTCTGAGGACACGAGAAGATTTTTCAACCCAGTTTACTTACAAGGTAAACGGTCACGAGGAAACTTAACAGATGTACAGATTACATGCTCGTCAGTGAACCTGCACCGGACAGAGGCAGGAAGAGCTTTAATACACGTTATCAGACAGAGGCGCGGTCAAGACGACCTTACAGAGAGAAGGCCTTGAGTTTATCAGGTGCCTCCATGCGCCTGCAGGCTCCTCTCCGACGGGACCTCCGAGCAGTCAAAACATCTCTCTCACTCACACACACACACACACACACACATTAATTTAACATTAGTTAGTGATAAACATCCGTAACCTTTACCTAAATTCCCCAAAACAAAACCAATTTCACTGATTATGTCTGACACCACC